CTGGCGTCAAGTTGATAGCCCCCGTTTGTAATCTCATGGGTTTCCCCCTTCCATTTATTCCAAAAAAAATATGAAAGCGCCAGACCACTTTTTAATATTGATTATAATTATAAAGATATAGGATGAATGAGATGAATTGCAAATTCGATGAATATTAATAAGACAACTTTTAAAAATGAGAAAAAATTGAACAGGTGCAAATTGTTTAATGAAAACACGAAATTGTTGGTGACAAGGAGACATGAAGTTATAAGTATATACCTTGAGAAATAAGTCAAAAATAAGATTTCAAAGTATCTGGAAAAAAACTGTGTTTTATAAGGATACATTAGCCATAACGTGTCATAACAATATTCATTCCTAATTTATCCTTGGCAAGATCATGTGTATTTTTTCAGTTTTGTAGTGAAACCTGCTGATCTGAGACAATAAGGAAAAGAGATCTAACATGGAAATTGAAGCTTTTAACATATACATATTGTTAGACAGTTAGATATTTAGGCCTTGTTAGAGCTTATTCAGTGGTTGTTAGCTATCTCTTAGTTAGTTCTCTGTGTATAAATAACTATGTAAGTCTCTCTGTTTAAAGTGTGAAAAAAACATTGTTCATTAATCTGGTATCAGATAAGCCAAATAGATCCTATGGCCAATAACCAAATTCCTTCCCCAACTCTGGATTCACCGGATAGTTTGACGGAGGCTGTTCCTGGCTCCGATCGCCGGCCGCCCAACATGCTCCAACAAGCCCACCACTATGTCTCCATCAAATTAACCTCCACCAATTATCTCTTCTGGAAAGCACAATTAGTGCCATTTTTACGCGGCCAGAATTTATATGGGTACGTCGACGGTACCCAGACCTGCCCCTCGGAGACACTCGCCGGCTCTTCCACGTCGACTACTCCGGCCACCAACTCCCTCCGCGATGTGTGGATCCAACAGGATCAATCAATCCTGAGTATGTTGATCTCCTCAATGGCGGAGGAAGTCCTGTACTTGGCAATCGGACACAGCACGTCGCGCTCTGTCTGGCTCGCCATCGAAACTGCTTTCGGCTCCACCTCTCGCGCGATCGTTGAGTCTCCTCACTCAACTCCAAGGTCTCCGGCAGGGAGACTCGTCACCGGCTGACTACCTGGGCAGAGCACAGGTCCTGGTCGAACAACTTGCGCAAGCCGGTAGACCGATCGATCTTGACGAGCAAAATCTCCATGTATTCCAGGGGCTTCGACCGGAATACAGAAGCCTCGTCGCTTCCCTCACCACAAAAACTGCACCGCTATCAATCCCAGAGGTTGGAAAAAGAACTTTCTTCTCTTAATATATTCAATTTCTACCTTTTTTGTCTAGGTGGAAGTTGGCGGGCAAGGCTTGCTTAGCCACTCATCACTACCTGTTTCCAGAAGAGTCAACCCAAGCTTCTCTTCAACAGTCGGCAGCCTGGTGTCTCAGTACCCACCCAGCAATGGGCAACGAGGCTGTGGTGGCCGTGGTGGTCGAAACAACCACCGAGGCCACGGTAGAGGACAAAGAGGACGCGCCGGTGTAAGGTGTCAGTTGTGTGATGTCGCCGGCCATACTGCACTTACCTGTTATCAACGATTTGTTGATGTTGGTGGTCACCGTCTACAAAACAACCAGCCTCCACAACATGTGCCCATGCAGCCACAAGCTCACCTGGCGTCTCAACAAACCCAGGATGATTTCAACACAGCTCCTTTTTCCAACGTGTGGTTCCCCGACACCGGCGCTAATGATCATGCAACGCCTAACGTAGCGGCGCTGAATAATGTCGAACAATATGGAGGTGACGAGACATTACGCGTTGGAGACGGTTCAGGACTGTCTATCTCAAACACAGGTTCACTTTCTTTATCGTTTAAGTCTCGGTCACTGTTTCTACATAGCGTTTTGCATGTTCCTAAGTTACGTGCGTCATTATTGTCTGTGCAAAAATTTACACGTGAAAATGACGTCTATTTTGAATTTCATCCGTCTCATTTTCTTGTGAAGGACCGTACAACCAATCAAGTTCTTCTTAGCGGACCCAGTCGTGGCGGGATGTATTCACTCACCACGACTTCACCCGTTGCGTTAATTTCAGCGAAAGTTTCTCCCAAAGTGTGGCATAACCGCATTGGTCATCCCCACATTCGAGTCTTGCGTCAGGTTCTTTCTAGTTGTCCTGTCAATGGATCTTTTCGATCCCTTAATAATCTGTGTACGGCGTGTCAGATGGGCAAGTCTGCGCGCTTCCCACTGGCACAAGTCAAACAGTCTAGTAAGTCTGTACTTGAATTAGTTTTTATGGATATTTGGGGCCCGGCTCCCGTTTCTGCAGTAGATGGTTCTAAATATTTCGTGATTTTTGTTGACGATTTTTCGCGTTATATTTGGTATTATCCGCTTAAATTCAAGTCTGATATATACTCTGTTTTTGCCAAGTTCCGTGCCTATGTTGAAAATTGTTTCTCTACCACTATAAAATGTGTCCAATCCGATATGGGCGGTGAGTACCGAAAACTTCACTCGGTGTTCACCACAGCAGGAATTGCCCATCGGCAATCAGCCCCCCATACACACGAGCAAAACGGCCGTGTAGAGCGCCGAAATCTCCATATAGTTGAAACCGGGCTAACCTTACTTGCCCAGAGCTGTGTCCCAGAAAAGTACTGGTCCTATGCGTTTGAGTCAACGGTTCATTTAATAAACCGCCTCCCGTCCACAGTTTCCCAAAATATGAGTCCCTATTCTAGTTTGTTTCACAAGTCACCTAATTATAATATATTGCGGGTGTTCGGGTGCGAATGTTTCCCGTGCCTCCGCCCGTATAACAGTCACAAGATGAATTACCGGTCCACTTCTTGTGTGTTTCTGGGATACCCAGAGTCTGTTCTTGGTTACAGGTGTTTAGACAAAGATACTGGACGTGTGTATGTTGCGCGGCATGTGCGCTTCAATGAAGAAGTTTTTCCCTATCAAGCCATGCAACACCCAATATCAGCTCCCGTGCCAACCAACACCGCTCTACTGCCTTGTGCGAGTGCTCAGCTCACTCAACCGACACCCACTGCCGTGCTACAACCGCCATTGCAGTCCCAACTGCCCCAACTGTCGGTGCCGCAACCCCAGCAACCATCCAGTTCATCAACGCAGGCAGCCTCCTCGTCCTTTCAGCCGACTACCTCGTCAACAACAACAGGGAGGAGACGCCGCACTGTCAGGCCGAATATACGCACTCACAGCATGCAGTTGCGAGTGGGAACACATGCACGGCGACGACCAACAGCTTTGATAGCCTCTATAGATGATGTTGAACCTACTTGCCACACCCAAGCTGTCAAGTCATCCCACTGGTGCGCCGCGATGGATACTGAGTTCAATGCTTTACTACAAAATGACACATGGCGTCTAGTGCCGGCTCGCAACGACGTCAATGTCATCGGCTGCAAATGGGTGTTCCGCATCAAGCGGAAGTCCGACGGCTCAGTTGAACGCTACAAGGCTCGCTTAGTAGCCAAAAGGTTCAATCATATTCCTGGAGAGGACTACCGAGAAACGTATAGCCCCGTGGTCAAACCGACCACTATTCGGCTACTTCTAGCGTTCGCGGTGTCCGCTAAATGGACTATGCGCCAGTTGGACGTCCACAACGCGTTCTTAAATGGCCACATCGAGGAGGACATATATATGTGTCAGCCACTAGGCTACGCGAATCCCAATTTTCCAGATCACGTGTGTAAATTACAACGCTCGTTGTACGGGCTTAAACAGGCCCCCCGTGCATGGTTTAAAAGATTACACGACTTTTTGCTACAAATTGGCTTCCGGCCATCCAAAACAGATATATCTTTGTTCATTTTTTACTCAGGACAAGACCGGGCATATATACTGGTATACGTTGACGACATACTACTCCTGGGCAACAATCCCAATATGGTTACCACCGTGATGGGTCAGCTAGCTGAGTTTTTTCGGATTCGAGATCTCGGGGTGTCGTGGTTTTTTTTGGGGATTGAGGCTACTTATAGTGGTGATGCCTTGATCCTGTCCCAACATCGTTACATGACAGAGTTACTCCGCAAAGCTGGCATGGAAACTTGCACACAGCTAGCCACTCCCATGTCGCTGGTTGTGCCAACTACCACGGATTCCCCACTACTAGACGACCCGACGCCTTACAGGAGTCTAGTTGGTTCGTTGATGTATCTTCTGATTACAAGGCCGGACCTGTCCTTCTCCGTTAATTGTCTATGCCAATTCATGCACAACCCGACAGAAGATAACTGGGCAGCTCTCAAGCGGGTACTTCGCTACGTTCAAGGAACGCGACATCTTGGACTGCGTCTTGTTCCATCCACGGCTCCAGTGATACACGCCTTCTCTGACTCGGATTGGGCCGGGTGCTCCGTGGATCGCAAGTCAACTGTTGGCTACGCCGTTTTCCTCGGGCCAAACCTTGTTTCTTAGGTCTCACGGAAGCAACGCACGGTTGTGCATTCTTCAACTGAAGCTAAGTACAAGGCCCTTGCAGATGCGTCAGCTGAGGTAACTTGGATCGAATCTCTTTTACAGGAGCTTGGTTTACGCCCGTCTACGGTTCCCGTGCTGTGGTGTGACAACTTAGGGGCCACGTACTTGTGTGCTAACCCCGTGTTTCATGCACGGACCAAACACGTCGAGGTGGACTACCATTTTGTCAGGGACAAGGTCGCCTCCAGAGGGTTGAAAGTCAACTTCGTCTCGACACATGATCAGCTTGCAGATATTTTCACCAAGCTCCTTTCATTGGCTCGACTAAGCGACTTACGTTTCAAGCTGGGCGTGGTCTCCTGTTCCCCGTCAGCTTGAGGGGGAGTGTTAGACAGTTAGATATTTAGGCCTTGTTAGAGCTTATTCAGTGGTTGTTAGCTATCTCTTAGTTAGTTCTCTGTGTATAAATAGCTCTGTAAGTCTCTCTGTTTAAAGTGTGAAAAAAACATTGTTCATTAATCCATATATCAAGCTTGTACACAATCACACCCTTCAATTATATTACAAATTAAAGAGGCCATGCAGTTTACACTGAACCCCTCTCTCTCTCTCTCAAAAAAAAAAAAAAAAAAAAAGCTTCCTTTGTACATAATTGAAATAGTCTGATATGCAATGATAGAATATTTAATTTATGCCGATAGATTCCTTAGCTTGTTGGCATCGGCATTTGGCCCTTTCTGTTGAGCCACTAAGTTACAGTGATTTACCTTTTCTCACATACTCTCTCGAACCCGAAGTGTGAGAGGTCTTTGGGATTAGAACAGATTTAACTTTTTGGGAGAAAGAATTTTTAATTTATTATTGAGTGAGAATTAACTAGCTAGGGAAAATGATGTGGAGTTGAGTTGTTGGTGTGAAGGCCGGTTTTTGTTGTGCGAGGAATTGGAGAGCGGTGGCGAGTTGTGGGAGGATGGCCTTTGAGATTTGGAGTAGTTATAGGAAGATGAAAATTTGGGTTGTTTGTTCTTATTCCTTTTGGTGGGATATGATGAACAAGGGATGAACACTCCAGTTCCTTTGCTTTCTCTTCTGCCCATCTGCTCATACATCAATTCTGATGATGCACCTATTTTGGGATAATGCATCACTTCTGAAAACGCCAACGCCTATCAACACAAATGGATTATATTATGTCTAATTAATCGATGAAAATTAAGAAAATATTTAATTGTAAGTTTTATGTATTGATTGATTATATTAGGAAAAATTGCACTTTCCGTCCCTAAGTTATATCATAATTGTAGAATTCGTCACTAAGTGTTGATATTGCTCACTTTTCGTCTCTAAGCTATCATTGGTATTACATTTTTCGTCCTTTTACTAACAAAATATTAGAGACAAAAAGTGAACATGAGAATTAACTTAGGACGAAAGTGAGTACCGAAAGTTATCTTAACAACGAAAAGTTCAACTAGCTTAGGTAGTTTAACACATTCCTTCATATCTTTCGAATATCTAAAGCAGCGAAATCAAATCATTTCAAATGATACAACACATGCACAAACAATTTCATGTATTGATTATATATATACCTGAAGCGAAACAGAAGAGGAATGAGTGGTGGAGGTTTCAACGTCTTCGTCGTCCATAATGAGAAGAGAGATTTGTCTGCTCAAATCTGCAAAGAAAACATCATCTTCAAGCTCCATGGCAGCTGCCTCCATTTGGCTGAAGAGTGTTGACAGTTAGGGAAGTTGAATTGGGATGTGATTCTTCCTATCTTTAGGCTTTAGGCTTTAGGTACCACCTCTTTTATTTTCTCTTTTTTCCTGCCTAAGTTGGATGGGAATATATATTATTGTGGACTAAATAATAATGTTACAAAAGACAAGTGATGGGCAGAATTTAGGGTAACATGTAGGTGGGGTCCAGAAAAAAGTCACTTGGCCAAACTGGCCCAGTCCGCCCTACAATTGGATCATAAACTCTTATCATACTAGCCTGGACAATTCCCTTGGGCCCTTAAACTTTATATAATTAACACTTGCACCTGTGCTTTTTTCATAAATTGTATATAATGCTACCCTCACTCTACCTATTTCACTATAGATGTCACACCTATGTGGCTATGTAGTTGGTTAAACAACTTTACCCTTATTAACCTATCTTAAATCTTCCTTCAAAAAAAAAAATCTATCTTAAATCTGAAACCCAACCTCATCATATAAATAAAGAAATAAATAAATATATATATATATATATATATATATATATATATATATATATATATATATATATATATATATATAGTCGCGTTCAGGTGCGAATAGGTGTCTAGGAGAGAAATGCTAACCAATTAGCGCGCGTCATATGTCAGCATTAATTGATGGGGTGCACCTACTTTCACCTACAAGTGCACCTACTTTTGCCTGCAAGTGCATGTAATTTTTGCCTGCATTCATTGATCGAGTGCACCTACTTTCACCTACAAGTGCACCCACTTTCGCCTGCAAGTGCATGTAATTTTGTCTCGTTAACATTCATTGATTTGAGTTCGTTCTGTTTGGCATCATTTTTGTTATTGCGGGGAGTTCAGCGGGTAGTAGTACCCGTGAAAACCACCCGCAAACATTCATGCACTTAGGTGCAACTACTTATAACTATAGGTGCACTTAGTATTGATGCTCAGTGTAAATTTTACTTGCACCTATAATACATTTTACATGCACTTGTAATACATTTTACTTGTACTTCGATGTTCAATAATTTACGAAAATGCCACCACATTTTTTTTAAAATCAGTGTTTCTCATCCATTAGATTTGGACACGTGGACGGATATAAGGCATTCGCATATTCGCACTTGGGCGCTCCATTTGCACCAGAGTGCAATTATAGGTGTGTGTGTGTGTGTGTGTGTGTGTGTGTGTGTGTGTGTCTAGGTTCGATCATGTGAGAACACTATCTCCCATGAGAACTGTGGACTAATCTCTACCTTTGATTAAATGGATCTACAGCTGGATTATTTTATGAGATTAGAGAAATTAAACATAATTAATGCGGTGATGTGGCAATTCAATAAAGGAAAGAGGGGCTTTAAGGAAATTCGGTGTGCATTGTCATATGATCTAAAATTATATTCTTCCCAAATATATTTTAACCTATAATGGTAACCTACGCATTTGCCCATAATAATATCATTTAGATCGGAGATTATATTTGCCAAATATGAATATAAAACATATGAATGCACAAATTTGCACTTAGAAAAATAGAGAACGACTTACATTAGTAGCAGACATAGAAGTGCATACAGGGATACCTAACATGCACACACACAGATCTGTAAATGGCTACGCAGAAAGAATGCACACATGGGCGAGAAAAAAATGCACAGATACGCAACAAACGAATGCACACATGGATGACAAAACAATGCACACGATCGTTTTGTGAAGCACAAAATGTGTTATCTACAAATGCACAATAACACACACACAAATCTGAAAATGGCTACGCATAAAGAAAATAATGATCAAGAATCTTGCCAAAATTAATTCTCCTACAATCATGCATAAAATCAAAAAATAATAATAATATGATTCCAATTAAAGACACAATTACTAAACACTCTCTACCTAAATATATTACAATTAAAAAATTAAATTACCAAAAAAATCTAAACCACCCATCAAGAACACATCAACACCCAAGATTAGTCAACAGTCATGGGGAAAAATATTCTCATTTGATCCTTAATCTATAAATAAATATATATATATATATATATATATATATATATATATATATATATATATATATATATATATATAGAATTAGGTTCTAGTGCGGTTAGGGTGTCAGGTGCGGTTGTGCTGTTTAATCTTGGCCATTCATCTCGCTTAAATCAACGTCCAGGATTGATAAAATTTTTATAAAAAATGCGGTGGCAATTTTGTAATTTTTGCATCTAGGTCAAAATTAAGGTGAGCGGATCTGTGATTAATGTGCGTGAGTTTTGTATATAAGATGCATGAGGTTTGTGCGTAAGGTGCGTGAGTTTTGTGCTTAATGTGCGTGGGGTTGTGCTTAACATGAGTAGTTGTTAAAACTTAAAGTATTGACTTTTGTGCTTAAGTGCGTGAGATTTGTTCTTAATGTGAGTGGAGTTTGTGCTTAATGTGCGTAGGGTTTGTGTTTAATGTGTGTGAGATTAGTGATTAATGTCAGTAGTTGTTGAAACTTAAGGTCTGTGGGTTAATACTTAAAGTGCGTGGGGTTTGTGCTTAATGTGCGTGTGGTTGTGCTTAATGTGCGTAGGTTTTGTACTTAATGTGCGTGAGTTTATGCTTAATGTCAGTAGTTGTTGAAACTTAAAGTCTGTGAGTTAATATTTAAAGTGCGTGGGTTTTGTACTTAATGTGCGTGAGGTTGTGCTTAATGTGTGTGGGTTTTGTACTTAATGTGCGTGAGTTTGTGCTTAAGATCTAAAGATCTAACACTTAAGGTGCGTGTTATGCCACCATGATTTAACTCATTAACAATTCTGGTAGGGTCAGGATGTAGGCTCTGGGACAAAGGATTTTTATTTTTTTTTTGAACCCAAGAATAACCAGTTTAGATGATAATTAATGATTGTTGGACGTCGGTTAGATTGGTTGAGTTCAACCCTTATTCAATTTGAGACGTGACGATATGACTTACCATGATGGATGTGGTTAAATGGTTTATGTCCACCAACTTATCAACAATTGTTTTAAGAAAGATATGACAACCAAATAACCAATAAACTCGATCTGTGGTTAAGCGTGTTTGACTTACAGGATAGGTGATCGATCCACTAGGAAGTAAGCATAGTGCAACACTAAGATCCATCAATTGGTATCAGAGCCAAGGTCACGGATTCCAGTCCTAGATGAGACCAGAATTAGCATAGATCAGACCAAGTCCAATCCCCGGCTAAGGACCGAGTCAAGCATGTTGTGCAACTGGGCTTTGTGATTAAATGTAGGCATGCTGCGCAACTGAGCTTTGTGATCAAAGGTTGCAGCAGATACTGGGAGGGGATTGTTGGGCGTCGACCGAGTTCAGCCCCTAGTCGATTCTTGATGTGCGAAGTGGCTTACTATGATGAATGTGGTTAAATGATTAATGTTCACATATTTTATCACCAATTGATTTTGAATTGGTGATCAACTAGCATAATGCAGCACTGAGATCCATCAATGATGCCAAAAGAGGGTTTTCTTTAATCATGCTAATATATATGTTTAATGAGAAAGGGTGTAGGTGTAAAAATTATAAAAAGGAGAGAAATTGGGTAATATGGTTAGAAAGTTGAGGGGGTGGAAGTGAAATGATGTATATTATCTAGATAGGAAGGGAGAGGGATAAACAGCCCAGAAGAAGCCATGAGATATCTGATAGAAAGATAGATGCATGATATAGTTTGGAAGATATCAACATCACATCAGACATACAGTTGGGGGTTGTGAATTAATATATATGTGTTGGTGAGAGGTGAAGCTCTCTCATCCACTACTTATGGTTCACAGTTCATTATACACTTCCCACAGCCAACACTACCCTATAGCCTCCCTCCTACTTGGATCATCACTTTATTTAGCTTTGGCATTTTATGATAATATTGCAGCCTCGATCCCTCAAGATGCTCTTTGTGTCTGGGGACTGGGACTTGTCCTTACCTTAGCTTATTATTATTGTTATTTTTTTTTAAAACATTATTAGTATTGTACGTTATTAGTTGTTGGCGGTGGATTTAATAATGGGCTAAAAATATTCTCTAACGTGATGTACTGCGATTAATTGTTTGATGTTTTATCAAAAGATATCACAAAAAAAAAAAAAAAAAAAAAAAAAACCTTCAAAAAAAATTATAATTTAGTACTTAGGGCATGCTTGGTTCATGGAAAATGTTTTTCAAGGAAAATATTTTCCTTGAATTTGAGGAAAATTAGATTTTCCTTTGTTTAGTTCATGTAAAATATTTTCTATGGTCCCCTTGGTATTTTGTTTTTCATGAAAAACAAGTTGGATAAAAATGTTATTACCAACTTTTCTTAATTATCATTATTATTATTGTTGTTATTATTATGTAGGAGTATAATTATTTTTATACTCATTATTCCTTACAAATTCCAAACTCAACCAAACAATGGAATCAATATTCCCAGTAATTTATTTTTTCCTAACCAAACAATGTAATTAATCTTTCCGATAATTTCTTTTCCATAGAATTTCAATTTCATTTCCCCTCAAATATTTTCGACGAACCAAACGGGGCCTTAAGATTATTTGGTTTCAGCAATATTCTCCTACTTTTAAAAATGAACCATATCTTAATGTAACATCATCAAATTTGTATTTTCTTTTTTTTTTTTTTTTTTTTTTTTTTTTTTTTTACATCCCTACAACTACAACTCATTTTCAAATATAAGTCCTAATTTCATATCTATATAATTTCAACTCACTTTTAATAATAATAATAATAATAATAATAATAATAATAATAATAATAATAATAATAATAATAATAATAAAAATAAATTAATTGGAAAAAAATAACAGAAAATAAGCAGACAAAGAAGGTTTTTTTTTTTTTTTTTTGAATGACGAATAAAACCTCACAACCCTTTCGAGTGTAGGTAAACCTCGCCTTATGATCCTAACCAATAAAGGACCACAAGGAAGTAAACCAGTCTAGGTTACCCATAAAAAAGAATGGTAGAGTGATACCAAAAATGGTTTTGTTTAATTTAGTTTTAATTCATATGATTTATATATTAAAAAAAGCTACATTTTTTATAAGGAAAGGGGATACC